TGGGGGTAGGAACAAAAATTTAAAACGAGAACAAAAAATGCCTTAACTAGATATATTCAGTGCAATATGGCTAAATTTTAACTGTTCCACAGTCTATGAAAGGGAACAACGTGTATAGGGTTGTTTCTCGTTTCGTTTTAAAACGAACACTCGTTTTGAACTTTCAAAAAACGAAAAACTATTGTCTTTGAAAACGACCGTTTCTAAAAATTATCTTTTTTTCGGGACAACCAACATTTTTATACTTTAACAAGAAATCTAAATTAGTTAAAAATGATAAAAAATAACGAAAAAATTGCTTACTTAGTTCTGATTTGCTATTTTCAGCAAATTTTGCAGCTCAAAAATTTAAGAGTAAAAGATTTATAAATTTTGGGGGAAAATTGTAATTTTTTAGTTTTCTAAAGTATTTATTTTAACAAGAAAAGTCTAATTTTATCTAAATAGGTTTAGTCCAATCAGCAAAGCGGTTTCAAAATGACTTTTAGACAAAAACGTGTTTGAATGGTGTATGCATCTTTTTATCCTATAATCCCAAACTAAAAGAGGGAAAAGGCAAGAAATTGCGTTGCTTGATTTTGAGTAAAAAATAAGATGTCAAATTTTCAAAAAACCTCCTACTGAGGTTTTATAAATTAGTGGAAACCCTAAAGGCCTTGCACTTCAGCTAGTATATATAGAAAGTGAACACAAAATTTAGACATTATTCTAAATATTTTTCTTGTAAATCACGACTTGAGCCTAACAGTTGTACTCCTATTCCACAATTTTTTATTATCTCTTTACATGGTTTCTTTATATACTTCTAAGCTCGGGTCTCTCGAGGATTTTATTTTATTGTTGCAGGTTTTCAACTCACCTCTGATGAGAATGGATAGAAGCGAGGGTTCGCTAGTTATTACTCCAACATCAGATAGTTTAGAGCAGAACCTGATCCCTGAACCACCAGGTCCAGATATCAGGGATTCTCCAACCCTTCTCCAGACTCATTCTCCAGTAGGAGCAGTAGCTCCTTCCCCCTCCAGGTACAAAAGATAGGTACAGGATACAGGATTCAGGATACAGGATACAGGTCACATGATACAGGATACAGGATACATGATTCAGGATACAGGATTCAGGTCACAGGATACAGGTCACATGATGCAAGTTACCTGATTCAGGATACAGGATTCCGGTCACAGGATACAGGTCACATGATACAAGTTACATGATTCAGGATACAGGATACAGGATACAGGATAAAGGTCACGTGATATAAGATACATGATTCAGGATACAGAATACAGGATATACAGGACAGTGTATAGATTACAAGATGCATGATACAGAATCGAAAAAGGGTAAAGGATACAGAAAACAGGTTATATGGTATATGATACATATCTTAGTAGATACTTTAGATCTAGACGAACCTCTGATTCTGGTTTTGAATCTGCTGCTAAGACTGTTGTACTCTTCCCTGGTTCAGGTACTTTTTGAAATATATCATTCAAGTTCATTTCAGTACGAAAGGAGTTGAGTCTTTGCCACAAACCTAAATTTTCTTATCCCTACATATTTGCACCGCAATGTTGTATACCTTAGACCGTAGACGTTGTTAGATCTAATCAAGGATTGTAAGGCAAGGAAAGTTATTTCAGAAGTGTACACATCTTTTGTACTGCAGTGTACTGTCTCTGGGCGGTAATGTAAACACAAGACGGACGTCGAAGCCTGAAACGGGATCCATCTTTCACATAAAAATTCGATGAAATATTCTGGTCATAGGAAACTATTATGTGAATTATCAAAATTTTCAAAATTTAATGCTTTTAACCTCCTCGGATACTAAACGAACACTGATGCATCTATTCTTGTTTACAAATTCCGCCCAAAGAGAACTGGTTTCAACATGTACGCAGAGTATACACGACCGCAATAAACTTTCCTTGCCTAACATTCTTGGATCTAATAATCTAAGTTTAAATATCAAAGGTTTTCATCATCGGGTTGCAAAGATATGGTGATTAGAAAGTCATGGTTTGAAGCATATAATAAATTTCTTTAATTTACTTATTATTCTCTTTAAAGAGATGGAACTGAGATAACTACTCTTTTACATATCTTCCTTCAGTAGCTTTAAATGTTTAGGTAGTATTGCTGCTGCTACTCTGGGAGCTCTAGGTAGTGTAGCAGCAGTTGCTACTGGTAGTGTAGCTCTTCTAGGAGCTGGAGCTGCAGTTTGTGCATTCAAGTTCTCACCAGGACTAAATAAGGTGAAATGAAAATCAAACAAATAAAAAATTTGGATTTTTCATCTGGGATCCAAAAACGTTGCAATAGGAATAGATTTCTTCAATAGTCCAATGAACGAACATAAGACACAGCAATTTTGCGGTGTACACAAAACCATTTTTCTTAATTATAAGTTGATTATAAAGGTTCTGGTAAAACTATTCGTTTTTTTTATAAACAATAAATATTGCTTTAAAAAGTCGTTTTCCTATTAAATTAGGTATATTGGAAAACATTTCGAAAATTACTTCTCGCGGAATTTGTTTAGCTTAAAATTTCAAATCCTCGAGTACATCATTGACATCATCCATAGTTTTATGGGTCTAGAATTCTGTACCAAAAATAATTGAAAATTTAAGAATTTAACATAGGAAAAAAATGTTATTATATAAAGTTGATAATCAAAAATTTTTATTTTTAATTTTAACATATTATGTTTTCCTTTAAAGGGTAAACACGAGGAATCCCACTAAATGCATTCCCCCCAATGCACATTATCCATTTTCCATATCATAAATGCAATTATCTCGCCAAATATAGGGAAAATCAATTTTTTTTGAAAACATCAAATCATTTGTTTATTTTGTCTATTTAGTTGCTGCCCCTTTTCGTTACAGGGCCGAACGCAAGAATTTGTCTTTAACTTTAGATGGGGGGGGNGACAAAATTTGTTTACCCAAATGCTTCTTAAAAAAAAGTATGTCTATGAATTTTAGATGATTTTTTGTGTTGGCCCATCATACTAATAGCATGCTTTGGCAACTAGCTTATTCCTTTTAATTTTTTTATTTGTTCATGGTTGAGCTCGGCATGCAGTCTACTTCATTGCGTGCACTTGATTAAACGTGTGTCTTTGTTATTGTTGACATTTTGGTCATTTATTATTAATGATTTAAACCATCTTGATTTGATAGTTGTTATCCTTAACAATTGGAGAAATAAATAATATATTTTTTACTATTAAACCTATGCATTATAATTTATGTAATTTCGAGTAATAACAGTTTTTTCTTATTGTAATTTTAAATTCTAAAGCCCTGATACCTTAGTTTGATGATTCTAAAGTTTGTCGAAGTTTTCTTTCGAGTATCTGCACTTACCAGTTACCACATATTCTGAATTTACAGTCCTTTGTAACCTGATGTTGTAAACTTTTAATATGTCCAACTATGAATGCTGCTTGGTTAACAGAGTTCGAAATATTAAAAGGTTACATCATTAACTTGGAAAGCTATGAGTATTTAAAAAATCAAAGTTTAATGGTAAATATACGATATACTTCGTGTTATTCTACAGTGAAACCCTTAATAACGAATACATCGGAATAATTTATCAAATGTCGTCTTGGCAATTTTTCAATGAGTTTTATACTATATTTCGTAAATTTCAGTATATTCTTAATTGAAATGTTCATGCTGTTTTGAAATTCAAAAACCATTTAAACATTATGAGAAGTTAATTACATTACTTCTGATGAAACTGTAGTGAACTAGCCAAAAAAATAAAAAAGTTTTAGTTGATTTTTGTTCAAAAAATGATATCTTAATGGGGTTAAAATTTAATTCACCATGAAGCTTTCCAGAAAATGAGGTGTAAAATTTGTATTAATTTATTTTATAAAAAAGCTGAACAATATTTTATCATAATGTCATTTCTACTGCATCATAGATATTTTTCCAGTAGCTTGTAATATTTAAACACAATTATAGCTAAACAGATCCCCTTTATTTCTAGTGCTGCCCTATAACGGTGGATTTACGAATCTTTTAATTAGGAACGATCAGCAGCCTCTCGAGAAGAGAGAGCACGCTACCTGGAAGAGGCCAATAGGGTGAGTGGAGTTTTTATTTAAAGGGACTAAGGTCAGAACTTTGGTGAAGAAATCAATGGTATTTATATTGAATTTTTAATTCTTTATAAAGTTGGTTGCTGATTCTTTCAATTTTTTTCAATGTCGTCTTTTCAATTAAAGTTACCGGAAATGGAGGGAAAACATCAATCATTAAAGAAACCGATAACGGAATAAGATTATTTATCTTATCGATGTTAAGTCGAGTTAACATTTTTCTCAGCCTGTTCCCAAACAAGAAATAAGTTAACAGTGGAATTTTTTGGTCCGGGTTATTAAATATAATTGTAAAAACGATTCTTCTGCGGACTATCCGTTCGGTGAAATTTTACAAACAAATTACGCTCTTATTTAGAAATTATACAATATTAACGTATCATTTTGTTTCCATAGTCTCTCCTTTTAGTATGTAGTTTACAATTTGGTCATGATTTCAGTTTTCATACTTTTTATGTTCAAAATATGATGAATAACATTTTTTTTTGATATATGTATAAATTATGTTCTATTCAAAGTTTTGCGCATTGTCATGGGTATCATTCATAAATATCCCTATATATAGCTATTAAAATTTTCAGCAAAATATGCTGCATCAAATATTTTCTATTCAATAAAAAATCTACTGGAACATTTTAAAAAGATAAATCTGAAATCAATGGTCGTTCTGTAAAGGTTCTGAGAAGTTTCTCAACTTTTACAACTTTAACAACCACTACGGAGAAAAGAATGGGCCTAGAGAAAGTTTTTACTCTACACTGATCTTTACAACACTAAAAAATATCTTCCACTACCCAAAAAAAAATGTAGACCCCCCCCCCCCCAAGGCCGTAACATATGATAATTAAGTAGCACTAAACCCCATTTTGTGAAAATTGAGGCTATTCAGGAAACTATAAAATGCAATCAAATCAATTAGTAGAATAAAGTAGCTGCTAAACAATATCGCCATGTAATGGATATTGTGCGGGCTAAAGAATAGAAAAAAAGTTTCTTTTGTAGATTTAAAATATATTCTGTTTAGTATAAACATAGTTATTCAAATAATTTAATACGGTTTCACAAATATAAAAGGCACTAAGTTCAACACAGTTTTAACAACTTCTTTAAGGGGTTTTAGAAAAAAGGATTTTTGTCAGTAAACTCAAATTGAGTTTTTTTTAAAATATATCTTGAATGCTTTATCTCTCTATTAAAATTATCCCTTCAGAGTATGACCGCAATGGGATTTAAAGAGGACTAAAATCAATCCGTAGATCTGCATAAGATTGAGTTTGATTCTTAATACTAAAATTCACAACAAAAAGTTCTTACTTTAGGTGTCAGAAGAGAAGAGAAGAATGGCGAAGGAAAATGAGATAAAGAGAAGAGAAGGAGAAGAGGAAACTTTGGCTGCTGTTCTTTCAGCTCGGGGAAACTTTAGATAATCAAGGTTACTCCTAAACCCAGTTTTTATGTAGCTTTATAATCCCTCTTGTGTTTACTTTGTTATTGATTGAAGGCCCTTCGTGCTACGCAGTTCTATTCTTTTCCGGAGAGGTATTTTCCCATAGATCATCTTTGATTTAAAAAAATGCATATCCAGAATTCTAGTTTTTTTTCAATATTCTTTAATTTAGACGCAACATATTCTTTAGCTTAAAAAGAGCTTAGTAACATAAGATACGATTACAAAAGATATATTAAAAACATTTAATTGCATATGATATAAGTAACATAAGAAACAAGATACAAAAGATATAAGTTACACAAAATATAATTAGCACACAATCTAAATAAAGGCAAATATTACAAAATATAAAAAATGTTATAATTAGCTCATATTGTATTTAAACACAAAAATAGTTCAAATGAACCAGAAAATAGTTCAAATGAACCAGAAAATAGTTCACATGAACCAGAAAATAGTTCACATGAACCAGAAAATAGTTCAATTGTGGTTCAGTAAAACAATTGTTATGTTCATTTGAACGTCTAGCAACAGCAGTCGACCGTCTAGCTTGTCCTAGCCGCAGCAGTCGGCCGTCTAGCTTGTCCTAGCCGCATCGCTTGACCCAGAAACTGTTTTAACCTAATCTAAGTCTGAGATATTAATACATATTCTTTTTCAAATATTCATATTATTTCAGGGTTAGGTTAGGTTAAGACACTATCTGGGCCGAATGCTGCGGCTATGACAGGCTAGGGGGCGAAGCGCTGTGGCTACATAACAAATGGTTCAAATGAACATAAAATATTTTAAATGAAATGTTCAAATGAACAAACTGTTGGTAATTGTTACCTCTTATAGATTTTGTAATTTTATCTTTTGTAATTTATATATTTGTAAAATATTTTTTTTGTAACCTATATGTTTTGTAATTATATTTTTTGTAATTATATCTTATGTATCTGAGCCTTGAAAAGTATTTCTCCAGAAAAAAAAATCTGATTTAATTTAGTCTGATATTGTTGTAGATATTATATTATTACAGGGGAGTTGTTTCATGGACGCTGTAAAGAAGCTAATCTTGATTTTGCAGTCAACAATCTTTCACCATCTTAGATATGTTAACTATGTGGAATCTGAAATTCATTTATACACGAGGCTAGCCTGATCTGATCAGCTTACTAAATAATTGAGTGCAAATCCACCTATTAGGAGCCTTAATAAAATAAACCAAATCAGAGTCGAGATTACAAATGATTAATCACCCAGTCGGAACATTCGGTGCAAACTGTTTACAAATCATTATCATCAAGCAATTAATTGCAATCAAATCAGTATCTATTATTTTACATATAACAATACAATGTCGTAGATTTCAATATTGCACGAAAATTTAACTGTAGAGGAAAATAAGGCAAGAACATTAGTCGTCCACATATCGTATTATTATTAAGGTACAAGATTAAGACACCAAAATAGGACTGGTCTATGTTTTGTTAGCAAGAGAAATTTTTAAAAAATTAACAAATATTTCGTTAGTGAACGAAAAACTTCATGCATAACAACCTGATATAAAGTTGAAAATGGTGAAGTCATATTTCAGAAATGTTAGGAATATCTGCCGCTAACACAATTCAAAAATCAACTCATTAACAAATAACAACTTGATTAAAAAAAAACTTGAAACAAAAAACATTAATTGTAGTGAAATTTAGTTATTTTCGAAACGAACGGCTTTTCGATAATCCTTTTGGCCGTTCCATCAATTAAAAAAAATTTAACAAACTGATTTAAAATATTTCGAACTTGCCCAGCCCTACATAAAAATATGCATCTAACAATTTCAAGGATTTTTTCAGAAGTTTTCCATTTAGTAATAGAGAATTCCAATATAAAAGTGGATGACAATTACTCCTATGTTTTAAAAATCATACAGTGAAACCCTTAATAAAGAATACATCGGAAGAATTTATCAAATGTCGTCTTGACAATTTTTCAATGAGTTTTATACTATATTACACAAATTTCAGTATTTGCGAAAATAAATAAATTATAGCCATGAATATGCGGGAACAGTTAAAGAGTTCCATATAATCATTTAATTAAAAAACTAAATATCTGCAACATTCCATTATCAGAAAGTGAAGAATACGACATTTAATGAATTCTTTCGATGTATTCGTTATTAAGGGTTTCACTGTATTTGTATATTGTAGTTATTTTGTTGATTTTAATAGTTGGTGCATCATACTATAAAAGCTAAGTAGTGTAAAGAGCAGTAGTTGAGTTTAATATCAACATGGTGACACTTTAAACTAACAATGAAGGACGTATACAGGATTTAATCAGTGGGGGGAAGCACATTTTTTATTCCCCTCCCTCCCTTAAAAGTGTTAGAGAGACAAAAGGTCAAATATTTAGAATTCCAGAGGAAATAATACTTCATTTTTGTGATATTATTTTAGTTACAAAATGAAAAAATGAGATTTCTATGGGTTTCTTTAGTATTTTTTATCAGATAAATGTTTCCAGGGTACCGTTGTAAATCGGGCATTGCCATCTTTGCATGTTAAGTCACTTGAAATTACGCTTACAACTAGCTTCCCTTTAAATATTTCAAAACATATAATTTATGGAAAGTAAAAATAACATAGTAATTTGTATTTAAGCTATTCCTAGACTAGTTTATACCATGGTATCTAAAGATAAATACTTTACTTTGTTAGAATTAAAGCTTAACTAAATATGAAAAACGACAAAATCATTTCAAATTGTTCTATAAGTAAAAAAGCATTCATAGCTGCTATATACTGTTATTTAATCAATGCGAAACGCAAGTAGCGATTTGTTCTAACTGTTTTATTTGGTAGATAGCCATTTCTATCTTTGTAAATTATTAGAGTTGGTAGTTTATGAGTAGAGAGATCTAGATGAACTAGACTCGAGTTCAACCACTTCTCTCCATTAAAAAAATCTCATCTCAGATCTTTTGAGATACGTTGGTAAACTTAGAATATTTGTGCCTACATTGTTTTTAACAGATAACTTTCTTAAACTTTAATGTAAAAAGCAAAAAGTTTTTAATAATTTAATTTGAGATTTATTTTGACATAATTTTTTTATTTCAAGTTTTGAGAAAATAAAGAGGCTTGCAAACTTAAATCATCTTAGAAAAGTTTTAATGTTCTCCTACCCTTCCCCCCTCCCCGTACCCTTCCTTCACATCCTACAGAGAGTTTTAAAAAAAGTGCAATAGTTTTCTTAATTGTGATTTATTATTTTATTTATTAATCCATTTTTTGGTGTTCAAATAGACTGAACGCTAATAACAACTGCCTATTTCTTTGCAACCTGAATATTTTAGAACTCGTAGCTTGAAATATCAACAAAAAGTCATAAGGATTAAAAAATTTGAATTTGTTGCAAGTTTACAGTTCCCAAAATGTACACTTTTATTTTCCTCTGGTTCACTCTGCACAAATAAATAAAATAGTTCGTTATTGACTATCTTTCTTGCATACATATTACAATAATAATACATATAAATCTATACAATATAATCATACATCAATCATTTATCAATCAACGCTAAATAAGAAATAATTTATTTCAAGTACTGTATAATTAGATGTTGATATTGTTTAGCGGATATAATAAACATTTTAGAACTGTTGTTTCATTTCATTTTCTTATACAGTTAGTTACAAACTAAAGAATGAGATTTCAAAGACGACCACCTGGAATTCTGTAAATACAGTTAGTCTTCTGTTTAAAATAAATTCTAACAAAAACAGCAAAAAATTTAAACAGATGCTTTTTGGAATTTTGTAGAACCATTTTTTCTAAATTTTGTAAATTTTACTTCTTTTTAATTTTTTAGCCTTGAATTTTGTATCTTTTTATCCTGAATTTGAGTTTTTAAAAGTAAAATGTAAAAGATTTACAGTTATATAAATATAGCTGTCATTTTAGACTAAATAAAGCAATTTAAAGGCTTTTATCATAGCATGTTTTAAATTATCAATTTCAGGAGAAGAACATTTTTCTGAAAAATGGAGTATAATTTTGGCTAAATGAAGGTCTCATCTTGTTAGATTTTCAGAGGCTTTTAGTAATTCATGTCAGACTTAGATCTATATATGCTGTTCTTTCTCTTATTGAGATTGATAACGGATTTTCATTCGTAATAGAATTTTTTCAAAAAGTTTTTTTTTTAGAAATATATTTTAGAAGTGTCGAAAATCAAAAGAAAGGGTTTGGGAACAACAGGGTAAAGAAGATTGCAAAGTACGAGGGGAGAATATGGCGGAGTAAGACGGAGAAAAAATTAGCGCGGGAAAAAGTTGATAGACGATCAAGAAGTGAGAGAATTATTGTATTCTGGAAAAAATATATGAAAGAGAAAGTGGTATTTTAGTGCATTAGATATTTATGATATAAACTGTAAGATATATTCCAACATAAATCAGACGGTTTATCATCATTATCAAGAAAAAAATAAGATTTAAATGAAACACATTGAGTCTTGATAGTGATTAAACGGAGTTTCTGAAAAACAAAGAAAAAGTTGTTAATTGATTTATAATGATATCAAAATCATTACACAACACACTTATATAAAACATGATACATAAGTCAAAATATTATATTTCTTAGATTTGGGACGTTCAAATTATGCGTACCGTATTTAAAAGGACCAAAGGCGCAAATTAAATTAATCCATCATTTAAAAAAAGGGATCGATAGGTTATTAAAAGGATCGTGTTTGCGAAAAATGAAAGGGGGTATAGGCATACGGCAAAAATAAGCGCTTTTGATCGCTACTATTCTTACTTCTATCTGTTGCGTCTATAAGGAGAAATTTGTTAATAATGACTCGTACCGAATAACATAGCATTCACCCAAATTGAGAAAATTGCAATCCATGACTCGGATCGTAAAATGATCAATTTAATTTCAAACAAATTATTTAGATATTACAACCTTTAGTCATCGATTATTTTTCAACACATTAGTATATCGTTGATATTTCATAATATTTTGTATTTGTTTTATATACAATGCACTTAAAACGCCGATTAGTTTGTCCGCCAGGTGTCTCTGCTCTCGATGGTCTTAATGATTCCACGTGATTCCACCTAGCGGAAAAGATATTGTTGATTTAAGCATTGCATATAAAAGAAGTAGAAAATATTATGAAAAATGAACTGTATACAAATGTGGCGAAAAATAATCTAGGACTATATTTTGTATTATCTGAATGATTTGTTTGAAATTAAATTGATTTTATTACGATAATTACGATCAAATTGCAACTTTCTCAATATGGGTGGATGCTACGTTATTCAGTGTAAGTCGTTTAACAATTTTCTCCTTATAGACGCTACAGAGTAGCAAGAGTAGTAGCGATACAAGCGCTTATTTTTCGCCGTATGCCTATACCCCCTTTCATTTTTCCTGAACACTCTCCTTAAGTTATTAAGTTATTTCCGATTTTTCAAATTTCAAGAGGCAGGGTCTTTCTTCGAAAATATAAAAGCGTAAAAAAAGATCTACATTCAATTTTGTATAGATCTTAATCTAAAAACAGAAAATTGCAAAAGTGAGCATACCAAATAATACACAGTCTGGGTATTTGTATAGAGATGTTTCATTGTTTGTATACAGAGAGATACTGCACAGAAAATAGTCATTTCCTGGGGTTTATACAGTTTAATCTATTATTTAACTATCTAAATAGTCAAAATAGTCAAATTATATACAAGACATATATATACGTTATATATACGTTATAAATACCCAATTTACGATATATATACGTTATATAAGTTATAAATACCCTATATACGATATATATATACGTTATATACGTATATATATACGTTATATACCTTATCTATTTATGAATTTAGCTTGCCTGTCTGTCTGTTTGTTTGTATTTAATAAACAGCTGACCCGATCAGCAGAGGCGCAACTAGGACTTTTGCTATGGGGGGGGCAATATATTATTTTGTAATGGTCTGTGGGGGGTGTTAAGGGGGGGTTTAA